TTTTGTTGTTTGTAGGCGGTTAATAGCATTCTGGGCATCAAGAAGGACGTAAATGGGCCCCGGGAGGTGCCTATCTAGTGCCCATTCTTATAAAAAATAATTAAATATATAATAAATAAGTATATTTATATAGATTATATTTTCTATACTTTTTTCTATATCTAATAGTTATTCTTTTTATTTATATATAATCCTTCTACATTTAAGTATCTTTCTAAGTATATATAGTTATATAATCTCTACTTATATTATTTATAAATCTATATTCTTAGCTAACTACTTATATATCTAGTTATAGAAATAATTAATTATAAAATAATGTTAGCTGCTTTAATATATGTTTTCCCTTTATAGTACTAGATTCTGCCTAGTATCATGCAAGTTGGTTTCGTAACAAACACAGTCTTGTGGAGTCTTTAGAAGTCTTTAGTGAGGCCTGGTGGGCCAATCACAGAGAAGCATGTATTTAGAGGCTTGGCGCGTAGTCTGGCACCTAGGGGCTGAAAAGTACGATATCGCGTACTCTCCGGGGGGGAACAGAGTAGAAGAGGGAACACACATCAACATACACATTACTTTATAAGGGAACCTATGTTACCCAATTACTAGCCAATACACGGATTCCAACAAGATCTTAGCCCTAGCCCTAGCCCTAAGTAACACCGTTGCACTGGGCAAAGTTCCGGGAGTAACTCCTACAATTATTGCCCTAGGTACACTTGCCTTACAGGAGACACATGCAGATTCCCTTCGGATTGTTTTCATTACTGCTGTGCCTTTCGGAGTGGTCGCTTGCATCGCAAGTTATTTCCTCGGTGATTTGCGCTGAGACCATGAAGTATCACGTTGATGCACCGGTTGAGGTGTCGTGCGCAAAACAGGGCAACAAAGTTGATACTCGGTGAATTTCTGTCCTGCTTGTGAATCGTGTCTTCTGTCAAGCTCAATTAGTTATATAGTTATTCAGTCCAGAGTTTTGATTAGAAGGTTAAAATTGTACAAGATCCTCCACATGCTCTAGAATTGTTTCTAATTATGTACTGGAACAACATTGAAATATAGCGTCAACAGTTGCAAGATTTGCTCCCTCAATATGTAAAAGACAACAATCTTTTATATTTGAAAAGGTAAACATATTGATCCAACCGTGTATGTCTACGGGCGTTTTCTGGAAAGTTCCGTTGCAAATAAGCTATGTAAAATCTTTGCCCTCCGATTGTATAGCATATTAGGTACCTCAAGTACAGACAGATGTGAAATCTCCTTCACATCTTTTACAAACACTCTCTTCTTTTTGCCCCACAACGAAGGGCTAGTCCCTGAGACTAGTTCAATCTCATATTTCATATGTAAATGTAATACTCCTTTTTACATATCTCTGATCTTATATATATATAATCTTTACGTAAATATTGTACGAAAGTGGTATTAAAAAGTACTAGTCTGGGTAAATTGTGGAATACTTCTAGGCAACAGCCCTGGCTGTGGGGCAAGTTGAAGAGAGTGTGTAAAAGATGTGAAGGAGGTTTCGCATCTGTCTGTACTATCAAGGAGATAACATTCAAATGATCTCTCGAAAAGATTGCGTTCCATTGAGTTGTAGTTACCTTTAGTTAGTGATATGTTATGTTTCATTGGTTTTTTTATCTTGTGTATCAAACTGTTCTTCACGTAACTATCTAAAACCTGGTATTTACATCTGACTACCTAGATAGGTATGCAAGTATTGTAGTTTACAGTAAAATGAATCAATCTGTCATGTACCCCGTCGCCATCTCCGAGTCCTCAAACCACTGCCTCAGCTTATCATCATCTCTAACACGAAAACCAACGGAAAACTTCTTCGGCTCAATTGACAGGCCCGACGGATTCGCATTACACTCTAACGGCCCAGTCAAAATGGGCCTCTGAGCCGGGTCCTGTGCTGGCAACACTTCGAGCGCGATAATGATGCGCATAAAGGTAATGTACATCTCGCGATTTGCGAGGTGTGAACCTGTGCACATTCGAGACCCGGCTCCAAAGGCAAAATGCTGAGTTCCTGATCCTTCCGGGATATTGAGAAAGCGCTCCGGGCGGAATTCGAGAGGTGATTCAAAGTGTTCAGAGTCAAAATCAGCTGCCCAAGCGTTCTGGATGTTTTAGAGCAGTGGCTATTAGTAGGATTAAAAACATATGTGATAATTTACGGAGAAAAGAAATGACCAGAACACTTACCATTAAAAATGTAGTTCCAGCTGGAATGCACGCGCCTTTATAATCCACGTCTTTAATACTGACCCGCGGCAGTGACATTGGAATAACGGTCCAGAAGCGTAGAACTTCCTTGCAAAAGGCGGCCAAGTATTCAACTTTTTCTTCAACGAGACATTTCTTCCACGCACTACCGTCCTGGTAGACTTTGTTGATCTCGTCGAGCAGTTTTTGCTGCAAATATTGACCTTGCGGACCAGACAAAATTGCCACGCCGAGTAGAATGCATGCTGGAGTTGTGTCCAGACCACCGGCTATCATGGTCAGACAGATAGATTTAATTTCAGCTTTGTACACCGCAATTGCATTAGTAACACTCTAATTGCCATTTGGATAAGGACGAGGGTGAGTAGATGGAATTCATAAATATATTGCCATACCGTGGTTTAGTTTGTAATCTGGGTCCTTCATGATATTGCCAGTAATACACGGCTTATCTGTCCCCGTTGAAATGCGATCTTTCAGTCTCTGTAACAGAAACTCGAGGTACTTGTCACGGCGGCGTCTTAGGTCAGATGCCTGGTCATTGCGCCTGGGAAAGATTCTTAGCAGCGGCACAAAATCTTGCCAGTTATTGCTCGTGCTTCTAAGCGTGCTGATTCCGCGCTCGACAGTGATTATCTCTCGCAACAGGTGGTCTTCAGCACCCCCATCAATGCGGAACCCATAACCAAGAGTAAGGCTAAGATTAAGTGCCAGGCGTTGAAAGAGCGGATAAGGATCGATATCGACCTGGAAGTTGGCTGCTTTTTTGAAATCCTTCTCAGTTTGACTTCGCTGCTCCCCGGAGTGAATCTGGTCAACGAGTTCTTTAATGCTGACGTAGGACTCTAGATCCACAAATGGCATGTATGAGGCAACAGCAGGCCGATTTAGGGCTGTTGCCGCAGCTTTTCGTCGCCTTTTGCAGGATTCATCCCATGGCGATGTACCAATAGTAAAACCTTGAGAAGAAGATAGAACTCTGTGGAATGTGTGTAGTGTCGGTCGAGAGATTAGGCTGGATTGATTGTTTATCCAAAGCTGCTTGATAGATTCGAAGGAATTTGCTACCACGAATCTCTAGAAAAAGTCAGTCAGTACGGTAGGGCGATGTCATAGAACAAAGAAGAAGACAAACCCTATTACCGAGCCTAATCTGAAAGACCGAACCATATTGCTTCGATAACTCAGCAAGACGTTTGGGATGCTCTGAACCCAACTGGAAAAGACTTCCAAAGATAGGGACCGAAGGAACCGCAGGTAAATTTCGGATAAATGGAATGTCGGTTTTATCAAGCACATATATCAACAATACCAAAAAACCGACCAAAATAATACTGAGAATCAATGTTTCTACATTTGCTCCACCAATTTTTGCGTGCAGCTCAGATATCAGGGTCAACGAAGAGAGTTCCGCCATGGCGTCCGTTCGTTCGTTGATTCCTGTTTGGTAAAGACAAGACTATAGCCATTTGGTTGCCAGCGATTCATCTTTTAAATTTCTACGTCTGAGTTGGGATGTAGCCCAATTTTCCTTGGTACAGCGTAGCTTCTTGCTGCACTTCGTCCCCTTGGTTAGGAAGAACTAGAACGCCCGCCGGAATATCCGCCGGATCGTTCCCTATGTATTCGTACTTTCCTGGTTCGATTTAGGTATCTCTCTAATCAATTGGCGTGTCATCATTTTTTGACCCGAAGGGATTGGTAATTTACTTAGTTATTGTAGATTGAGTTTGTTAGGTAATTGAGTTACTCTGTGCAATACCTTTGGGATGAGTTGTAGTCAAGCATCGAGATTGAATTAGGGTTAGGGTTGTTAAGAGGCGAGGGTTGTTTATCAAGTGTACTGTAGATAACTGAGGCAAGTTACTCTGTCACGTCAAAGGGATCTTTGAAAAGTAATTTCTTATATAGCATGATTCGTTTATTTGCCTCCGTATCTAATATTCTCTAGCAGGCTCAATAGTACCCTCGCAGCTACCAAAGCCTACCAAATTCGAGTCGTCTTTGCCACACCAGCCACGAATCGTAATTGTGTCTCCATCCTCCAAGAATTTTCGATGTATATCACTCGAAATTGCATATGTCTGTTTCCCACCAAGGGAAGCCTCGAGTAACGAGCCTAAGCTGCCCGGCTCTGTGCCGCTGATGGTTCCTGATCCAATCAAGTCACCCACTTCCATCGGACAACCGCCAATTGTGTGGTGTGCAAGCATCTGCGCGAAGGAAAAGACCAAATTCTTGCCATTCGTTCTTGTGAATATTGCCGATTTTCCGTCGGCCGCTTGAGAGCACAATGGACTATTAGTTGCCTGTCATTTAAACGTGAAAGCAGAATTGATAGCACACTTACTTTTGATTTCCGCCTGGAGATTGATGTCATATACATTATCCTGGCGTTCCTGGCGTAAATAAGGATGCAATTCAGTGTCATTGGGAATGCCGGGGACATGGAACGCTTCTAGAGCATCCTTTAATACAACCCATGGACTAATTGTGGAGGCAAAGTTTTTGGCATTAAATGGACCCAAAGGCACTGCTTCCCAAGCTTGAATATCCCTGGCCGACCAGTCATTTAAGAGAACAAAGCCGAAGATATGCTCTTCGGCCTTATCGATAGGAATTGGTTCGCCCATCGTGTTCCCTTTGCACAAGAAGGCACCCAATTCAAGCTCGATGTCCAGGTTTCGACAAGGTCCAAAGACAGATTTCTCGTCTCCAGGGTTGGCCAAGTACTGACCTAGAGGACGCCGGATCGGGGTGCCAGACGCAACAACGGATGACGCCCGCGAACCATATCCGACAGGGAGGTGAAGGTAATTTGGTTGTAGCGCCTTCTGGGGGTCACGAAAAATGCAGCCGCAGTTGTATGCATGGTTTTTACCGGCAAAGAAATCCGTGTAACCAGTCACTTTCATGGGAAGATGAACCTTGACATCCTCCTTGGGAAACAATGCTGTGTCTCGTACAGCCTGGTTGTTCCTTAGAGCCTGGGGAACAGTGGTGACTGACGAAAAGACATCTTGCAAATAACTCCGAACCTGCTTGTGGAATGCTTGGCCAGCAGCAGCAAATTGGTTCAACGTAGGCTGAGAAAATAATGCAACTTGTTCTGGGGAGAATGCCTCCAGGTAGGAGAAGCCGCCGTGCGTCGCAAACAAGTATAGATCAAGGACGTAGTCTCCGATAGCTATGCCGGCATGAGGATCGGGGGATGCGGGCGTTGTTACGATGCCAAAGGGTATGTTTGCTAACGAGAAATGAGAACCTTTGCGTATATTAAGCCAGCTTTCGGAAGCCATTTCTTTGGTTTAAAACTCTGAATATTTGTCAACAGAATGCTGATTATGTTCGAGTGCATGGTCGATAGTTCAATGTTAAATCGAAGTGAAAAAAACGCAAATTAACTAATAGGGAAGAGATATAGTGGGACTTTTGAACACACCGGAACAGAGGGTAGAGCTCTGGGACATCCGGCGGATGAGCCGTCTGTCGCGTGTCACACAGTGAATGTTTTACCATATGAAGAGCACCATATTTTTTCAATTCCTGTTCTTAAGTTGTGTGAAAGTTTCATTTGATAAGAAAAAAGATTCTTACATCGAATTTATCAAACAGAGGATATTGCACTGTAATCTAGCAAAAATGCCACTCACGGGATTCGATATACCCGAAAAATATGAATACCAAACTGGATTTCTAGCTAACCTAGAGTAAGTTCGCTCTCTGGACCGAATAAGTGTTCCCAATACATGTTAATGCTGCAACAGGACGGAGGCGGTTAAAGGAGCATTGCCAATCGGTCAAAATTCGCCTCAAAAATGTCCTTATGGATTGTATGCCGAGAAGATATCAGGCACTGCGTTTACGGCACCTCGCTGGGAGAACCAACAGACTTGGGTATACCGCATTATACCGTCCGCCGTTCACAGCTCCTTTCAGCCGTTGGACTCAGGAGATAGACTGGAAGCCAAATTCAACCATATTCCAAATCAGCTTCGGTGGGACCCTTTTGATATCAACGCCGATGTTGACTGGGTTCAAGGCCTCCATATGGTGGCTGGAGCCGGTGACCCTTCAGTGAAGAACGGTGTTGCCTACTACATATACGGAGCCGCCAAATCCATGGCTGAGAAGTCCGCCATGTACAACGCCGATGGAGACATGCTTGTTGTTCCACAAACTGGTGCACTTGATATCCAGACCGAGATGGGTCACCTGCTTGTCCGGCCAAACGAGATTTGCGTCCTCCCTCGGGGAATTAGATACCGAGTCCAGCTTGTCAATGATGAACCCATCCGAGGCTACATACTAGAAGTCTACAATGGCCACTTTCACCTTCCTGAGCTTGGGCCAATTGGATCTAACTGCTTGGCCAATGCTCGTGATTTCCAGATCCCCGTAGCCGCTTACACGCACGATACTACTTCGGAGTGGAAGGTATACAACAAGTTTTGTGCACAGTTATTTTGCAGCTCGCAGAACCACACGCCATTTGATGTCGTAGCATGGGAAGGCAGGTACTATCCTTATAAGTACGATTTAGGACGCTTCAACACTATCGGCACCATTTCCTATGACCATCCGGACCCATCACTGAACACCGTTCTCACCGTCAGTTCCAACGCCCATCCTGGAACAGCCATTGCGGACTTCGTCATCTTTCCACCCCGCTGGCTTGTTGCCGAGGACACGTTCCGGCCTCCATCTTATCACCGAAACTGTATGAGTGAGTTTATGGGACTCATCAAGGGTTCCTACATCGCCAAGGACGGCGGCAAGGGTGGCTTCCAAGCAGCTGGAGCGAGCCTTCACAACTGCATGAGCAGTCATGGGCCAGATGCGGAAGCGTTTGAGAAAGCCAGCAACGAAGAATTGGTTCCAGTCAAAGTCGGCCTTGGAAGTATGGCGTTTATGTTTGAAAGCTGCTATATGGTTGGTGTTACTAATTGGGGCTTAAAGGCCTGTCAAAAGATCCAGTCAGAGTATAGTAAGGAAAGCTGGGGCGGTCTCAAGGATCTTTTCAGCCCTCCAAAGTCGCTCGATTAAGGAGATTTCTTCGTAAGACTCTAGTCATAATTGTTGAGATAAGGCATCGAAATGGCTAACTACTATTTAAACATAACTCAGGGTATTGATTAGGGTAATTAATGTTTTTGTAAAAGCCTGTAATTTCTAGCATTTCATACCTTACATATACTTTATAAACACTTGTACCGGGCGTAACGTTACCGTACCGATACACACTACTGGTACTTATACCAAGTTGGCGGGATTCGGGATACCCCGGCCTGGAAGTACTTAAACCCGGCGTGGGCAAAGATATGGAACCACTCCCCGGTTTATCTGTAAAGGCACCCTGGAAAGTGTTGAGAAGCATCGACACTATTCATCTAGTAACTACTTCTTCTCTAAAGTCACTGCGAATTTGGTGATATCGATATGCGAAAGTCTGAGAAGCCGAAACGGTCCAGGGCCCTTCAAGCATGCGAGGTGTGCCGCACGAGAAAGAACCGTTGCAATGAGGAGCAGCCATGCTCCTACTGCGTTGGTAATATATTGCAATCGGATTATTTTTCCAACTTTGGCTAAGCGGTCTGATTAGATCATGATCTGGAATGTCTCTATTCCAGGCCAAATCGTGTGAAGCGGAGAAGGCCATTCCAAGGATCTGCCGACGATGTTCCTTCGCCGAGCAAGTCCTCAATTAGCTCTAGACAAAATTCCGAGCCGGGAGGGCTGGACAGCCATCAAGAAGACAGCGGGGTTGTGGTAGAAAATAGCCATCAAAGTGGTTCTGCTGATACGCGACCCAGGACAAGAGATGGCCATATCGCTTTTGAGTTGGTACCTGATGAGAGCCGTGATCCACGTGAAATTCTTTCATCGTCTGTTCAACATAGTGTGGCTCAGAACCCTCCTGGGACTTTACAGTCACAAGGATTGCCACGATACTCCTCTGCTGATATCGTGGACACAAATTCCTACACAAAGAATTTGGAATTCTATGGCGCTTCCTCATCCACGGCTTTCCTCAAGCATGTGGAAAAGATGTCAGAAAGCCACGTCAATGTTGCCGGAGGTGGAAATTCAGAGGGATCACTTGCTTCTCTATTGCACAACACAAATTTCAGGCCATACTTGACCCCGAGTACTCTGACAGAGCATACTCAAGCTACGAACGATCGATTTCATTTTCGAGTTGCTAGAAAGTTTATTGAAGGATACTTTAGCAACATTCACTGTGTCCAACCTATTTTTGATGAAGAAAGATTTTTAGCACGGTGTGAAGATCTTTGGTTTGACAAGCCTGAGAAACAACCCTTGATTTTCATTGCACTTTACTATATCACGTTGAGTCTAGGTAGTCTTGTAATGATCTGGGACGAACGAGAAATATACGGCCAGGACAGATTTTCGTGGAGTCGGAAATTTTATAACGAGGCTGTTATTATCGTTACGCAACTCGGCTCGGAGACGAATTTGGAAATGGTCCAATGTTATTATTTGATGGTAAGTGCCATCTTTCCTTTATGCTGATAGAAAGGTAACCTCTATCATACTTTCAGGGAAAGGTTTGTCAGCATGAGCTGAATCCACATGGTATGAACGGCCTCCTAGGTTGTCTTGTTTTACGGTTCACTAACATCCTTGTTCAAAGTCGCATATTTGTACTCCGGACAAGCATCCAGGACTGCTCTAGCAATTGGCCTGGATAGGTCAGCTGATAGGAATAAATCTGATCCCAGATCGTCAAATGATGCAGCAAAAACATGGTGGCAAGTTTTCCTTTCTTTCAATTACTCCATTATTGAATCATGGACTTTCTTGCTTACGTTCTCAGGGCTGTCTATTGTCTTGATATGTGAGTGAATTGCCTCATTAATTCGCATTGAGGCTTACAGAGACCTGTGTAGACAAACAAGCTTCGCTCTGGGCAGACCTGATAGCCTTGGTCCTGACGAATATCACACTCAGTATCTTCCAGGGGCAACAAATTTATATGAAACAGACCATTCCCTCATAACACCCAACATGCTTCAGATTGTCCCATGCATGGTTGAATTATCTAGAATCATGCGGAAAGTCGGTATTCGTTTGTATACTTTACCGTGCACTGTGCGAGAAACGCTCGCTCGTACAAGACTGCTAGATGATGAATTGAGTAGTTGGCTTCGATCGCTCCCACCCCATCTTCGGTCAACAGAATCGTCGGCTAGCAGATTATCACTGAAGCCTAAGCGCTCCTCTTACTATATCAAGAAGCAATATGTTGTGTTAATGATACGTACGAATTACGAGGCTCCCTTGCTTTAGAGTCTTGCTGATCTTGAATTTAGGTTACTATAATCTTCGAATGGTACTTCATGGCAAATTCTTCACCCTCCTGGAAAAAATCGATCCGGACCTGCAATGGGAAGTACGCGATTGTCAAGAGAAGTGCATTGACTCCGCAGGCCAGGCGATTGATCTTATATATGACGCATTTAACAACGACAGCTTCTTTCAAACTTGGTAAGGTGTCAAACACTCATATTTATCTGAGCAGGGAATGATCTATTGACTAGTTACTAACTGGTTAGGTGGTACAATTCAACTTATACGCTATTTGCAGCGAGCATTCTACTTACGGCGGTCTTCCACAAATTTGCAAAAACCAAGCAATATCTGCAATACCTGTTTCAAAAAATTGACCGTGCCATTGCCGTCCTCGAGGGCATGGAAGAATGTGTTGTCACTCGAAATGCCACGCTGATTATCAAGCGAACGCTTACACGCGCGAAGAAAGTGCCTCAGATGGTCACATTTGACACGTACAGCACTGCGTCTCGGCAAAATACCACTATCGTAAATATAAACTCCTCAACAATACATCCTAACTCGTCGACGTGGATGAATTTACCGCGAAGGGATACAACACCAAATTTCCTTCTGGACAATGATGGCCCCACCAGCATAGAAGGTGCGCCAGCGGATGATGAGATTGATTGGCTGAATGCCCCTTTTACATTTGACGATGGACAGCAGGCTCTATTTTGGGTAGAATGGGCGCATCATTTGGACGGGCTGGGGCAATAGATGGATATAACCCAATATTGCGATGTACATATCAAAGTAAAGCCATCAAAAATGTCTCTTATTCTGTGACTCTTTGCCTAGGTAGGCTGTTCTTCGTTGACCCCTAAGTAGACAAGTAGAAAGCTGTAAAGGAACGTCATCTGCCATTTGGGTGGCACTTGACAACTACTGAAGATGGATACTATCTTTGGAGCATACTAATGCTATTACAAATTTTAGATTTATATGAAAGGGCTAAAATAGAAGGCTAAGAATACGTAGATGCTCGAGAGTGATGAAATGGAGGATGACGATAGCATGCAAAGGTGTGCAATTCAAGCTGCAGAATTTGCTCGAATTCTGGCCTTGAAGTCCCCAGGGCTGCGTATCCTTGAAATTGGCGCCGGGATAGGAGGAACTACCCTTCCTGTTTTACAAGCTCTGAGCAGGTCAGGTGAAAATCTGTGCTCTCATTATCGCTTTACAGATATCTCGATGGGATTCTTTGGTAATGCGGAGAAGAAGCTGGAAAAGTGGCATGGGCTCGTTCAATACCAGAAGTTGGATATCGAAAACGATCCAGCGCAACAAGGCTTTCAACCGGCAGACTATGACCTCGTGATTGCGGCAAATGTCCTTCACGCCACCACCTATATTGACAAGACAGTCAAAAATGTGAGGCAGCTACTAAAGCCAGGAGGAAAATTATTACTGCTTGAGAGTACACAACCGACTGTCCACCGCTCATTTGTTTTCGGCTCACTCCCGGGCTGGTGGCTAGGAGCGACGCAGCGCTGCAAGGACAGCCCATTGTTGAGCGAAGAAGAATGGAACATTACTCTCCGCAACTCGGGATTTAGTGGCTTAGATTCGATTTTACATTCGTATCCGGATGCAGAATTTCAAACTGATAGTTTGATTATCTCCACTGCAAGACGCAACGACGCGCATGCGATTGATACGGTCAACCTGGCATTGGTTTTGACAAGTGCTCAGCTATCAAAGCAAGATGAAAGCCCAGGTTATAGGATTTCCCAGCACATTTGTTCCATGTCGTCAAAATATACAATCCAGATGTCCTCACTCGGAGATAGCAGCTTACATGATCGAATGTGCATCATGTTGACTGATTTAGACGAACCGTTGCTAAGCAACCTCAACCACGCGATCTTTGAAAATCTGAAGCACATCTGTAAGATCGCCCGTGAAGTCATTTGGATAACGCGGGGAGCGACTGGTCAAAGCCGTAACCCACTGTCGAGTTTGACGCTAGGGCTGGCTCGAGTACTGAGAAATGAGAACTCTCATGTACCGATCATCACCGTTGATCTTGATGCAGAATACGAGACACCCTCCCAGGACATGGCCGGGAAAATCTGGACCTTCATGCAACATTATCTTTCTGACCGACGAAAAGGCGGTATGGAATGGTGTGAGCGCAATGGGAAATGGTTCGTTCCTCGTTTGGTTGAGGATACAGCGACGACGGAATTCGTTCGTTCCCATTCGGTGAATTATCCACCTGGTGTGGCTCGGCTGGAGCCCTTTTATCAAGGCGACCGACACCTACGTCTGAGTGAGGGACGTACAGCAGGCTTGCAAGGAATATCATTTACTGATTTTCCTGATTTCGATGAATCTCTTTCTGCAGAAGAAATCGAGATTGAGATCAAGGCTTCCGGTGTCAATTTTCGCGATATCATGATCGCCATGGGACAGATGTCAGACGAAAACGTTGCAGAGGTCGCTGGTGTAGTGACAAAGGTTGGGCGAGATGCACAGCTAGGGTTCGTAGAGGGGGATAGGGTTTACACATGGCACGTTCCTCGATTTGCAAGCCACGTTCGATGTCCCTCGATGAATGTACAACATATTCCTGCTGGTATATCATTCGAACAAGCACCATCAATACCCATCATCTATTGTACCGCGTATCACTGTCTTTTTACTATTGCGCAACTTCGCCCTGGTGACACGATATTGATACACTCCGGTGCTGGGGGAGTCGGCCAGGCAGCCATTGTTCTTGCGCAGTACCTGGGAGCTACAGTATTCACGACAGTCGGTTCAGACCAGAAAAAGCAACTGCTAATCCAGCAGTATAACCTTCCCGAGCACCATGTTTTTTCCAGCCGGTCGACTGGATTCGCTAGCCAGATCCGTGCACTGACTAAAACTCGAGGCGTGGATGTTGTTCTTAATGCTCTTTCGGGCGCCTTCTTGCAGAGTTCTCTCGATTTATTGGCTCCACTTGGTCGATTTGTGGAGATTGGGAAGAGCGATATACTGGCACATGCTCGCCTGGACATGAGTACCTTTTCACGCTCCATATCCATCTCCGCCGTAGACCTCGTTTTGGTGATGCGAGAAAAGCCGCGGTATATGGCAGATATCTTTGCTCGAGTACACCAGATGCTAGCCGGACATCAAATCAGGCCTGCGTATCCTATCAAGTCTTTCCCAATCTCGGAGTTAGAACAGGTATTCCGGTCAATGCAAAAGAGACAGCATATTGGCAAACTGGTTGTTATACATGGAAGTGATGATAAGGTCAAAGTCATACCCCAGGTGCCTCCCGTGGTCCGGTTGCGACCGGATGCTACTTACCTCATAGTTGGTGGGCAAGGTGGCCTGGGACGTTCACTCAGTGTTTTGATGGCAAAATGTGGTGCTCGATACATTGTGTCTTTGTCTCCCTCAGGTGCCGAGAGACCTCTCACACGGGGTCTTATTGAGGAGCTGGAGCGAATGAAGGTTGCCTTTCGCGCGGTCTCGTGTGACATCAGCGATCGTCTTCAGCTTCAAACTGTTTTGATGGACACGAAAAAGGCTCTGCCTCCTATTCATGGCGTCATTCATGCGGGGCTAACGCTAAAGGTAAGTACCCTGGACATTTAATGCGCATCATAGTATGCTGACTTGGCCACAGAACTCCAGCTTCGACAACATGACACTCGACTCTTTCCAGCAGGTCCTAAAGCCCAAGCTGGGAACATATAACCTTCACGAATGCCTCCAAGACCAGCCCCTAGACTTCTTTATTATGCTCTCATCGTATGTTGGATTGCTCGGAAGCACTGGCCAGGCCAATTACGCAGCACCGTCCACCTTTCAGGATGCTTTTGCGCGTTGGCGGACCAGCCTCGGTCAGCCCACATATTCACTTGATCTGGGAACGGTTCTAGGCGCCGGCTCCCTTCATGAGAGACCTGAAGCACTGCCACACTTCGAAAATATGCGACTCGGTGGACTTCCACTCTCTGCACTACACGCCCTTCTTGGCTACACCATGTCCAATCCTCCTGCGCATTATTCCAATAGCCAGATTGCCATCGGCTGGGCGCCTCCGGCGACATGGTCTCCAACCCAGTACGCTACTCTTGATCCTCTCGTTTCGCACCTTTGCTTGTCTCCAGCTTATCCCTCAGACAAAGCGACCAGCAAGGACTTGGCGGTAGACATGCCACATGTACAAGCGGCTGAACCTCTTTCCCAAGTTTTGCCCCGCTGTCGAAACCCCAAGGAACGTAGCTCTACCATTGTTGAGGCACTGATTGATCAGATTGTCGATATTCTCGGTGTTGCCGCGGAAGACGTCAACCCGGGCAATTCAATCGGAGAACATGGAGGTGATTCATTGGTGGCCATTGAGTTCCGCAACTGGTTCCGTAAAGAGATCGGATATACCTTCACCACGGACCAGGTGACGAGCCAACTTTCCATACAGCAGCTGGCCATTCAAGCGTCTGGCTGAGTGATAGCATAACTAATTATAATATTCAGGAAGTCTGCTTTTCGTTCTCTCTACTTTTCTATTGTCTCCAAGGAGAGGTTCGACGTACAATGAGACTAAAAAAATTATTCCATATTAAATTAGAAGTCAATTGGCCGAGTCTACATGCAGATTGCATGGACTTATTAGCCTATCTAGATCTAGAATTTAGTACAGTAGTAGTAGTAGTAGTAGTAGTAGTACTGCCACGGACCTGGATCCACCTTAGTTAAACAGCGTTATGTTGAGGTATGCTAGGCTTAGTAGAACTATATAAAAATTCAATAATTATCGTCGATAGAGTAGGCTAAATAAATAGAATAATAATAGTTAATATAGAACACTGAAGTCTTTAATATAACTAAGATAGAAGAGATCTCCCATATAGCCTAGTACCTATACAAATATAAATGCCTTACTAATCCTTACTATTATATTTAAGTGACTTATATCAAAAAGCTATAAAGAATAACTAAATAGATAGTAAACGAATATATTTATATAGATCCATTTTCTATACTTTTTCCTACACTATCTAGTATATATATAAGTGTATATCTAATAGTTATTTTTCCCACTATATACACTTCTTCATTCGAGTCTATCTACCTTAAAAGTTGCTAAAACTGCCAACACTTCTTCTTGACCTCTCTTCGGCTTTGGCTGCGGAGTAGATGTGCAGTGCATTGGACTGCACAGCGATCGGATGTGACGCCAGCAGATGATCGTAGATTGCTTTTTAAAAGTATAATGTAAAAGAATACCATCATGCCCATCCAGACTTCATACTTGAGCATGATGAGCGGGTTCGTACGCTACCATCACCATTCCTGGCATAGCCGTGAATTAATCCTCGCAATCAGCACGTCAACTGCTCATTCCCATTGGAGTACGAACTTAGTCAAACGACGACAAACTCGCCTAGCCAGCGAACCAGTTAGTACTATGGGCACCACACAAAAGAGAGCCACTCACAATCTTTGCTCGTTCCCGTTCCAACCTCTCAAATTCGCGATTGATAATGTCCGCCTTCTCCTGACTCAAAACCCGCAGTGTAACAGGAAGCCTCGAAGAAGCGTTCCCTGGCATCTCAGAGTGGTGCATATATGTCAGCGGATCGACGGGCTCCTGTATCCCGGGCGCCCACTTGATCTCGAAAGCCCAAAGGATCCGCATCGCGGCGATGGCGAGCGAGCGCTCGGCAACGTGGTAACCTGGGCCTAATATTGTTGGGAACGTCTATGTTAGCAGTCTTTTCAAGGTCCAAAATAAAGATGGTGTGTTACGTACAGATGCGACGGCCCGCGCCAAAGGCGAAGTGGTCGCGTTTGGTTACGTCGGGGGAGTTGATACTTTGCTCTGCCTATGATCGAGAAACACCGATTAGCTGTACCCGTATGTCTTGGGATGGTCTTGGCTTACGGTTGTGCGATCATCAGCGTATCGATCCGGCCAGAAGCGTTCTGGGTCGTCGTGCCTGTTTGGATCGTGTGCAATAGCCCTACCAGAGATATATTAGACCTGTGCTTCCCCAGCGAAGCTAAAATGTGTCTTACCATGCATTGACATGCAAACGCGAACCTCTGGGGATACACTGCCCGTTATAGACTATGTCCTTCGTCGTAAAGTGCGGATGGCCGAGGGAAACAGGAGGGCGCCATCGCCAAACCTCCTTCATCACGCACCGAACGTATGGGATACCCTCAAGATCGGCAAATTCTGGGAGGCGATCGCCAACGACTGCTTCTATAGGTGGTAAATTGACATTAGCAACCATCTCCAAGATGCCCTGCGGGGTTCATGTATTTACCAATCTCAGCCCGGGCCTTCCGCTGGACATCCGGGTATTGGAGCATCGCTTCCAAGAAGGACCACGTGGAGATCTGACTCTGACAGTTTATGTCAGTGTTAGGATAATGTATTTTTAGTGGCTGATTCATAAAAACAAGACGCAACAGCGTACCGTGTCCGCAGCGGCAATGATAAGCTGAAGTGACAAATATGCTGCTTCCTCTGCGGTCTCTAAGCCGCCACAGTCGGGTCCTCGAATCACCGACGGAAGAAACGCATCTGTCATGTATTTTCCAGCAAAATCAGGGTCTCTGAGTCTCTATTCACTCAGTCAGATAGTCTCCTTGCCCTTTTGGAAAAGATCATACCTGTAATCGCACCGAACACCATTCCAGATCTCGCTTGAATCTCTGCCTGGCATTCTGCTCCCACGGCTTGAGGCAGAGAGGTAGATGGTCCAACCATGTGAATATATCAACCATGTGCATACCGGGGATTGTGCCTGGAGTACGGAACGTTAACATCAGCCACATACATCATCCACAAGATTCAGTATAGGCCTTACGCACCCAGTATCTGTGCAAGACCCGTTTCTATCTTGAAATATCAGTCGAGTAATGCTGTAGAGTCAAGAGGACACGCACCATGAATATAGCTGATGGTAGGATCATTTATATCGGGTACCTACACGACTTGTATTAGCACATTGTGTGGAACAAAGTTCGTGAGAACTCAACCGTGTACACGCACATCCATCCCAAAAGTCAGGGTTGCAAATGCACTATATGTATACCGAGCAATCGACCTCAAAATCCGAGTCCCATTCTGGCCGACCTCCGGGCTATTTGTAATAGCATGCAAAAACTTGGCAGTTTCATAGTTGAGAATCCTGCCAGAACGATAAGCATTCTATTGATCAAAGTGGATGGGAGACTAGAAACTCACGGCAACCCAGCATCTGCTCGTGGTACGCCGGTCATATATGTTTTTATCACGCGTCGCTGAGTCTATAACACAAGAGAGACAGAGCCAGCGTCAACAGGACATAGAGTAGAGGTATCACGGCAAGTTTGCGCCTTACCTTCCACCGCGGATCACTCCCATCGAGCAAGAGAACATTCATCTTGTTGCAGATGAGTTCGTTGCTGACAATCCAGCGCGGCCTCTCTGACGATATCGCGGATGAACGATCTATGATTTCCTTGTAGAGACAAGAGTCAGTATCAGCACCGCCCCCTTCTGCAGCCGACCAACGAATAGTCTTAAAATGAGCAGCCAAAAAAGCGCCGTTTCACTTACCTTGACAGCACGATCCGAATTGAGGAAATAATTGCTTATCGGCCCGATGCGGACGCGAACCACCTCGCCGTGCTGGCGAGCCCAGTTTTGCATCAGCAGATGTTGGAGGCTCTGCTTGCTTGCCGTGATAACTTCAGACAGGTTTCCTAGGATGAGATTGCCCTTGGGTTGAGGTGGGAGGGGGAGATCCTTAGCACCAGCAGGATGGATCCGGAGAAATGCAAATAAGGCTGCTCCCAGCAACAGGCAGACTGTGACCAGGGGCGGCCAGTGAGGGAGAAACGATATCTCGTTTTCGTTCATCTTTTCAATAGCTATGTTGTGTGATAGACGGACCAGGCCCTCTGTCAGCCATGACTACTCTCTATATGTACTTCGGCGTAATTCGAATTTCAACGCATGAATTCCAACGCTATTCGATGCGGGGTGCGGGAAATCAGCTCGCATGCAATAGTTTCGTCGGCTGTACCGAGTGGACCATTGCCTTAAACAATGCGAACCGATATCGGGATTTCCGGTCATGTTTATAGCTTGTAATTACATGGCTTACTCGGATTATCCGCGGACCAGAGACGGTCGGCATCCAGATCTTGGTAGCGAAATGTTAGACTCATATTTTAAGATAGGTCAGTATTCCAACAGAATAAGTCCAAGCAAAGCAAATATGCACCAGTGTATACAGGCTGTCATTGTCAACGTACTCCTAATTGGACTACATAGAAGCCTCTAATGATAACTCCCAGGTGCTTCTTTACCTAAGAGCAAGAACCGTTAGTTTACATGCTAAGGTTATCTATGGATTGGATTGTATAGGGATTTATTGACGTGAAGTCATAGCTATATCAAAGTCATCAACTTCATGAATCCTTTCTTCGCTTTCCAGCCAAGTCAGCACTGAATCCTTTGCCAGCATTGTTCTTGGGCTCCACAATTATCGATATCATGCCATTTCTCCCTGACCTCGAACCTGATGGTATTGCACTTGTGGATATAAATTTGACATTCCGCCAGGGGCGTTATCGCTCAGAAGATATAGTACTCCTACTCAAGAACAAGTTCCTGGATGGCCGTATTGAAATACTCATAGATAGATTCAATTATGACGCCATTTTGAAGTTGGCTCTTCTTACCCGGTGCTTCGATGCATCGTCTTAGACTCCCTATGAAGAGCTTGTCCACTTCTTTTTGCATCCAGAAGAGAATCTGGACTCTGTGTAGCTAATTGCTTATACTATGGTTAAGGTTTATCTGAGGTGATACTGGGCTAGTGCTGTCACCTTGTTATCGGTTAGATATAGACATAATATCAGTTCAGGTTTTGGCAATACCACGTACGGATCGGAATAAATGTCGGGAAATCATCTGAATTGAGTTCGTCCCTCCCCCCACCCCCTTTTCCTTTAGGGAATAGTTTCGTGTAGCAAGTCTGACAATGTCAAGATTACCTCGCAGGTCATTGATTTTCCGCTGTCGTGATTCAACAAGGCTCTTAAGACGTTCGATTTCATCTTATGGTATTTCGTATCGAATAGCAGCACTTCAGATCTGACGTTGCTCACTGCGCTTCAAGTGTTTGTTGATCGTAGCCTCGGTATCATATCATAGCTCATTTCTATTTGACATGGTCCAGGCTTCGTGTAGGTGGTCGTTAAGGCCAGTTGAAATGGTTTATCAAATTTTCGATTCCTAAAAAGAAAGTACTGTTCGTCAATTTTACAAGTCAATATCAATCCATAGATCGGAGAAAGCTACCAGATGGAGATTGCATTTGGTTACTTGATGCACAGTCAAGATCGTCAGGCTCGGACAACGTTCGTACCATCATGACTCAACATCTGGTAGGAATCTCTATCCGCGATGCATATATCGGCATTAAGTCACTTAATATAATGAAAATATTCTATTAAGAATAGTATAATAAATATAATAGGATACTAATAAAGTAATATATTTATTTAAATATATTATTTATAGCGACTTATTAGATAAATGATATATTTGTTATATTCTAAGTATATTATAAATAATAGAATATAAAAAGAATGCTCATTTATTATATATTTAGTTTTATTCTATTATTTTGAATTAAGTGTTTAATCTTAAATATATTATTACTTATAGATCTAATTAACTAAGACTATTTTTATTTATTACTTAGCTTACTACTCTTTTATTATTAGAATATCACGTTAACCGCCATTAAGTGACGAGTTCTCTCTGATCTAGACATTAGTAAACATCGGTTTGCGACACTTACATGGCCAATTCGCCTACCGATTACGTTATTATATATTACTAGACTTTTATAAAGAGAGTAAATAAATTATAAAAATAATTTATAAGAATATAGTAGTATAAGCACTAGATAGAATGAGAAATAAAGATATTAATATTATTCATAGCTATTTACTACTCTCTAGGAATCATGGCCTCTACAGCTTTATTACAAAGTTTGTTTGCTGGCTAATACATGACTAAGCCTGGCCAAGGCCACGTGTATCACGTGCCCGGATATAGAGAGCCCGCCGCACCGTCATTCATTCCACGGCCTTACAACTATAGAATTTACAATCATTTCTACAGATCTGAGTGCGTAATTTCAAAAATTCGATTCACGCGGAGAGAGATGTTTTTCAGTGTCGTAATTGTTAGCTGTGACTTCTCGATTTCTCTGACACTCGTGCAGTCCATCCCACATTCCAGCCAGCTTCCCCACGACCTCCCCGCTATCCCTCACTCGTAGGGAGTGTGACATGTGGGGATTTCCGCAGCTCGGACATTTTGTTGGAGAAAGCCGGTGCCTACTGTGCGGATATCCGGAAGTGTCATCGCCCTAAGTCGGTAGATTCCCCACCACTCATTGGCATAGGTCACTAGGCCCAGGGATACTCTCTTGTAGATTTAGCGTTAGTGCTGGAGTGAGGTAAAGTTAGGAGCATTAATCTCGAACTAGCTTCTCTATTCGTATCCAAGTTGAAATAAATTTCTTTGCGTTTGTCCCGCTCTTCATAAATGACACTTTGAGTAAAAGTCCTGACCGGAACTATCGCTCTCAAACAACAATTGCGACTCGTGAAGAGCATCCAATCAATCTGGAAGCAATCTTTTCCCTCTCTCCTCAAAGTAAAGCATGTTTGAAATGGCGCCATCAACTCAGCCTCTCCCACCCGACCGAAACACTGTCGCGAAGTGGGAGGAGGCTTCGACTTGGCTTTTCCTTAGTCTAGACCTAGAGCTTGATTGGTAATTGCTGACGTACCTTTTTCTGTGGCAATTGGAATGTTACTTCTTTACGTATAATTGTTGCGATGGGCAGCCTCTTGCTGTGGATTGTTACGAGCAGATCTAAGTTACCATACATAGGTTCCTGAGCATTTGGGAGACACCCAAAGACCTCTGGAACACTGCAACTCTATGAATCTTAGCCACTTCACAAAATCCAGAGCATAACTATTCAAGTCTTCTCAAATGTCATACTCTTCATTCAACAACTTATTACTTCGCAAAACATATTTGCGTAACCAGGTGGCGCAAAATGGTGGGATTGTGGGGATGCAGGTCCAGACGGGTGGTTGGGCAGTCCGTGCTTTGCGTGGAATTTGGACATCCGAATCGACGGGAAGGCTTTAGAAAATCAAAGGTGGCATCTGCTGCAATGTGGTGATGGTTCCTCTCTTTCGGGTAGATCTCGCACGTTGGCTTTTTACTCTATCGCGGAGAACCTGGGCTACTAACCCTCCTTAAGTACCCTAAGTTCCCTGCAATGGAGTGAAGAAGCCAACATGCGAAATTTACCCTAGACAGAGCAGCATTCATCATTCCCTTTTCCACCTGCTAAAACAATTAAACAACACTATACATTGGAGGTTGCCAAAACCAAGCATGGGATCAGCATCTCAGTCATCAAGGGTCGATCCCGCTGGTATGCGTTCGAGCTGTACTCGTCTACATAATACTCGCATTGCTAATCCTTTTCTTTTCCAGATGCACAGGAGGTTCACGAATTGGCATTCGAATGGGCTATGAGTGCTGATACCAAGGTGTGAACGCTTCACCATAAGCAGACTACTGACTGTTCCGAGGCTTGTTATTCTGACGTCTGGGCAGGATTGGGACCGTATGCGACAAATTCTAGCCCCCAAGTTAAATGTATTCATTCATGGCGTCTTTGGAAATGAATATCACTAACCCTGATCCTAGATTGATTATACGGATGTTGCCAACCAAGTGTTCACAGACATTTCTCCTGACGACTGGATTAAGCATTCTGAAAGCCCTAGAGTCCTGGGAGGAAGGCGCGTCTCCACGCAACACCTTCTTGGAGCAGCGAAATATATCAAAGTCTCAGACCTCCAGATAACGGCCCACTATCAGATCCGAGCCGCTCATGTGCGTTGGAAGGATGATGACCGGACCCAGGAAGGCCTCAAAGGTCACGGACATGGCGAGATGGTCCAGCATTACACCAAGATAGACGGTGTGTGGAAATTGTCTGGATGGAAGCCGACTGTTTTCTGGAACGAGCATGACTTTGAGAGGTATATGCATTTCGGCCTCACTCAGCCGTTGTCAGAGCTATAGTAGTACTTGACTAGAATATTATACAAGACTTGAAAATAGTTAGACTGCTCTCAATCGTCGTGCTAAACTTCGCCCGGACAATAGGATCCATAACATCAATAGCATCTGTCCCTCATTGAAATTAGGTATGATTTTGTAAACTTATAACTGAAGTCAATGTTGATTCAGATCATGAGAATCTGCAACATCCCCCTGCCTGCGGAAGATGGAACTTTTCCTACTTCCCGCCGAAGCCCCCCCCCC